TGTTTAACCCTAATCCCTGTCAAGTTACATTACGTTCATCCCCAAGTTCCCTACACCCAAATACTGTTTTCACCATATATTAATTTTGCCTTGTCTAGAGTGTCTTCTGAATATTCTTTACAGTATGCAGTCTTTTGTATAGACTTCTTTCACTCACCACAGTGTTTTTGATATTCATCAATGTTGTTATAGCCTTCTCTGATAGCTCAGTTGACAAAGAATCCGCCTGCAATGCAGTTTGATTCCTGGGTCGGGCGGGAAGATCCACTTGAGAAGGGATAGGCTACCCACTCTGGTATCCTGGGCTGGAGAATTCCATGGACTGTATAGTTCATGGGGTTGTAAAGAGTCAGACACGACTGAGCAACTTTCACTTTTAATGTTGTTACATAAACATATACAAAATGTATATGTATATATATATTCTCAATTGTGAATTAGTGGAAATGATGTGGAGATATATCGTTTTGTCCATCCATTCTCTATTGATGGATCCCTCACTCACTTTTAGTTTTTTGGCTATATTTTTGTACAAGTCCTTTGGTGAATATATTTTCACATCTCTTCAGTAAATAACACTGAAATTGAAGGATTATAGGGTGGTATATACTTAGCTTTTTAAAACTGCTATGTATCATTTTACATTCTTGTTGACAATAATAACAGTTCTGATTGATCTATATTTATGCCCAGATTTGATGTTGTCAACCTTTTTACACATTCTTGTGAGTGTATAGTGATCTTGCAGTTTGGTATACTACATTCTCATTTGGTTCAATAAATTTTTTAATTTCTCTTGTGACTCCTTGTTTGACTCTTTGGATTATTTATTTAGAAGCATGTTATTAAACATCCAAATACTTGGGATTTTTCTAAGTATAAGTTTTTATAGATTTCTAATCCCACAATGGTCAGGAAAAACAGTGTATGATTTGATTGCTCTTTTATTTAAGACTTATTTTATGACTCAGTGTACCTTATATCTTTGTAAAGTTACCATGTGCACTTGAAACCAATGTATATTTGCACTTTTGGGGGTAGTGCTCCACTTGTAGACTAATTAGGGTAGAGTGGTTGACATTTCAAGTTGTTCAGATCTTCTATTTTTTGATTTTCTTTTTTGTCTAATGCTGTAAGTTGTGGAATGAAGACTTAAAATCTCCTGCTTGACTGAAACAACATTGATAGGAACTAGGTAATTGAATTTTACAACATTGTATTTTTGCCTTTTGTTTTGGTTGGCATTTCCCCCTCCTCTGTTGCTTTTAATTTATGATGTAAATACATATTTGAGCAGTCTAAATTGTTCAGGTTAACTTGGTAAATAAGTTTATATTTTACATTTATGAATTCTATCCTTAAAAATATATTAGAAATTTATAAAAATTTAAATATAAGTTGTCATGGAAACTTGTTGTGGAGAAAATGAGATCTGGAAAGAAGAGAGATTATCCTGTTGACGGCATTGAATGATATTTACAAACAGTAAAAAGCATTTTAAATGGTTTATTTCCACAGAATTACTAAAATATACTCCTTAAAACTATTAAAATTTAAATTTGAATATCTAGAATTGGATTCAGAATTGCATATATGTAATTTACTTTTTATGGGACATTTTTTCCTCTACTTCAAAGCATAAAACAGGAAAGGAATGATCTTCTAAATAACTATTTTCTAGGTTTAGATATAGCATTTAATTTTTAAAAATTATAATATGGTAAGGACAATTTGAGTCATACAGTAAGGTTAAAGAAAGAAAATGTATTAATTCTTGTTTTGTGAGCCTTGCTCCAGTTAAAAAAATAGTGGCCAAATAAAGCTTGTTTGTAAAATATTGTTAATTATTAAAATTTTAGAATTTTCTTTAGTCAATTAATATGGTTTCTGCAGTCATTGTAGACCAGAAACTATATAAGATACTAGAAGTGTGTGAGCAGATATGGTACTTTGCCCTCGGTAAGCTCACCACTCTATTTATAATACAATATTTCCTAAAACATTATCTATTCAATTAAAAGTCCAACAAAATAACAACAAGCAAAATTCCAGAGATACTAAAGATGTTTCCCTTAAAAAAAAGAAAAACTCATGTGGAAATGTTGCTTGAGATGTGCAAGAAACTACTGCATTTAGAAATGATGATCTTGGTAATTCTCTGGTGGTCCACTGGTTAGGAGAAGCTGGGGCTCAATCCCTGATAGGGGAACTAAGATCCTGGAAGCTCTGGGGTGTGGCCAAAAAAAAAAGAAACAACTGTTTTATACTTTTGTTAGTCTTTATTGTATTATGAAAGTGTTAGGCTTTTTCAGCCTTGCTTTTTCTGTTTTCAGAATGATTTATAGGCTCTCTCTTTTCAATATTATTGAAGAGTATGAGACAAGCTGTACTTATATCAAACAACTGAATTATTTGCAGAGCAAACAACTGAATTATTTACAGTGTGTTCGAGTGTCTTCATCCCTTCTAATTAAGTTTGTTGTTGTTTGTTCAGTCAAAAAAAATAAAATAAAATCTCCTGCTTGTTGGTAGAATTGGTTTTTTTGTAACTTTTTTCCTTGTATTTTGAAGCTGTTACTAGGTACATAGAAATTTATGACTGATATACCTTCCTGGTGAAGATATTATGATTGATATACCTTTCATCATTATGAAAATACCCTCTTTGTATCTCCAGTAATCCCTATGTTAAAGTCTACATTATCTACTATTATCTGATATCAACAAACCCTTGTACCAAATTTTAACATCTTTTCATTGCTTTCATTTCCATCTATTTACTTGCAACCTATGTCTTTATATTTAAAGTGTATTTATGCCATCAGTATATAGCTAAATCTTTGTTTTTTTCAATCACTTTGACATTTTTTTAAACTTAAAAATTATATTTAGATGTAATGAAATTACAGATGTGGTTATACTTCTTCTGCTTTGTTTTTCTGGACTGCTTTTTAATGCTCTTTTCTCTCTTCCTCTTTTTTTGCCTCCTTTTGGGTTTTGGGTGGATTGTGTATTTCTCTTCAGAGAAATTGTATTCATGCTATTCTAATACACAATTGGTTTCTCAGCTTTAGAGTGAAAAAACTATATAGTAGTTTTTATTTTTTAGTGGTCGCATAGTCTTTTATTTTTTGGTGGTTGCATAGTCTACTAAACCACTTCATGAGAAATACAGGAATGTTGCTATAGTATAGTTCTAATTCACCTCTTCCGTGGTAAAAGGCTGTATTAAGCTTGTATGACATTTGGCATTTCCATATCTATGTCTGTAAATTCAGAATTCAAGAAATTGAAATTTTAATTACTCAAGTGTGAATATAAAAATATGTGTGCATGTGTGTGAGTCGCTTCAATTGTGTCAGACTCTGCAACCTCATGGATTGTAACCCACTGAGATCCTCTGTCCATGGGATTCTCCTGGCAAGAATACTGGACTGGGTTGCTGTACCATCCTCCAGGGGATCTTCCCAACTCAGGGATCGAACCCACATCTCTTGCATTTCCTGCACTGGCAGGCGGGTTCTTTACCACTAGCATCACCTGGGAAGTCCCGAATATAAAAATATTTTCTCACCTAAATAACAAGACATAATATTTAAATGTGGTGTCCACAATGCTAATGGTGTGCTGTTCTGTATATATATATATATCAGGGTGATGGGCACCTGAGATAAATACATATATACAGTATATATACATACAAGTATCTATACACAGATATATATATATATATATATACCAATACATATACAGATATATACACATAAATAAATATACACACACACACACACACACACAAATATATGTGTTTTCTAGCCCTAGGTTTTCCAAATATGTGATGATACAATTATGGGTTTTTGTCCATGTCACAACAAAATACTGGACCCTGTTAATATCAGTACTTATTGCAGAAAATACTTGACTACAGGACATGCTGGTAATGAAGCAGAGTAAAAACTTTTCCAAAGCCCAGAGGTCTGAGAAACACTTTCTCTCTTGGCCTAACAATGGAGCACAAGGGTACCAGAGGAATACATGTGAGCAGCTGAGAGAGAAGAGTTCAGAGACGGGTTAAACCTCTCAGTGCTACGAACTTCAGTACCTAAGAAATCCTAGTAAGTTTTAAAACTATGTAGGTTTCTAACCCCTAAATGTCCAAATATTCTGATTCAGTGGGTAGAGGTCAGGAGTTTATGTTTTTAACAGTTTTCATACACTGCACTGCAGGTATTCCATACATACAGCAGGTTCATATGCATAGTCTGCCTTAATTTAAAGAATTTTAAAATTCTGGATGGATTGGGGTTTTAAATAATTCTTCATCTCTAGGCCTTTAGCCCAGGTACCATGGCCTTAAGAGTCCTACAGTGAACATCCAAAGGAATGCTGTCTTTACACCGTCATCCTTTACTTTTTTCTCCCCCTCTTCATAACACGCTTTTTATTTATAAAACATGTTTTGTCAGAATTCTTCACTGCGACTGGCCATCTTGGGTGACCCTGCAAAGCAAGGCTCATAGTTCCATTGAGTTATGTAGGCCCCTTCCTAAAGACATGTCTTTTTAAAGACAAGGTTTTTTATTTGCATATAGTATTTTATTAACTATAGTTACTTTGTTTTCTTGTTTGTTCCCTTCCCTACTCTGTAAACTCCCTTACTAGACCGTAAGAGGGTCTAGTCTGGCTCATTCACAGCACCTAGTAAAGTGGTATACACAGTAGGTGCTTGGTAACTGTTAAAAAGATTGATTCACTCTGAAAACATAAAAGCACACCTCGACAAGCTCACCGCCTAACACCAACCATCATAATAGTCTCAGCAAAACCCACAGTCAAGATTACATACATACATTGTACCACGTCCCCACTGGCAAACCCAGAGAATGAAGGCTTCAATTCCAAGGGAACTCCAAACAGGAACACAGAGGAAAGCGAGCTTTTGGGGGTATGAGACTGTCGAGGGAGACTGGTCATAATACACTATAACACTTACGAGGTTCATGATGACCACTACAATTAAATACATACAAAGGAACAGGCAGTCAGGAGACAACCGTCCAAGACGAAACACATCAGAGCCAATCCCCTGTCGTACGGACGCGCTCTGCAAAGGTAACCCACCAAGGGAGCGCCCGGGGATGAAGAACCCTACCGGGAGTAAGCCCTGCCCATACCGCCGACGGGCCGACGCACGCAGCCCCGCCCACGCCATGCACGCCCCGCCCAGGCAGCGGAGGCGTCCAAGTGACGAACGCCACGCCCGTGTCCCGCTCACGCGGCGGAAGGTACACGCCACGCAGCCCCACCCACACAGCGGAAGAGCTCTAGCCACCTTGCCACGAAGCCCCGCCCACACCATGCACGCCCCGCCCAGGCAGCGGGGGCGGGGGGGCTGCCCACGCGACAAGCGCAACGCCGCATTCCCCACGCAAGCCGCGGAAGGCCTAAACCAAGTTCGGCGCTGTAGCTGGGCAATCGGTGCGCCCGTTTACGGAAGCAGAGCCCAGACGAACATCGGACTGCGCCTGCGCACTGACGTATTCCCAAAAGACCAATGAACGGAGGGGTGGGTCGCTGGCAGTTGGGCCTGGTTTCCGGTTCCTGTGGGCGTCTGCCTGTCGGCTCTTGAGCTACGTGTCTCTGGCTGGTGAGCAGACGCGGAGCAGGTGAGCTTTCTTATGAGTGGGGCTCGGAGCTATCCTTTGGGCATTAGCGAAGGCAGAGGGCGTGGGGGAGCCCTCCGGCCGCCTGCTGCCTGCCAACAAGGCATCGGGGAAAGCTGACTCACAGCCGCGAGTCCGACGGAAAAGGGCTTCCAGGGCCTCGGTCCCTCCGGCCGACTCTCGGCCGGGGCTAAGCTTTTAGGTCGCCCTTCCTTGGCTACCTCTGTGGGAACGTTTCCGCTCGGTGCTGTTGTCTGAGAGGGTCCCTTCGGGGTCGGCTCTGGGGCCGTGGGTGTGGAGTGTGTCTTGGAGAGCTCAGTCCTGTGCTGTGACGTGGGAGGGTGAATCCAGAGTCTGAATCAGTAGATAGTATTGGATTATTGGATCCCCTTCCCTGACATTCATTGCAGTATTTCGGTGTTAACGCGTTTTTTGTTTGTTTGGGAAAAAAGGTGCTTCGCTTTCATCAAGATATCTATAAATTTTAACTTCACTTGAGTTGAACAGTTCAGTGAAATGAAAACATTCTGGGCCCAGCATACTCGGCCTAGAATGTTTATAGAATTCCTGATATACTTTTAGTGTTTCATATATCTTGTTGTAGCAACCCACCCTGGGTGAGAAAACTAGGGCCTAGAGAGGCTATTCATAGAAAAGGATTTGTTAAACCACCGCCTCATTTTATGCATGGCCTTAATTCAGCAGAAATTTACCGAGTATTTCTGTCCTTGGCCACTGTTGCAAGCGCTGGAAATAAGTGAACTACAAGTAAGGAGCTGGTTTCATTAGCTATTATATTAAATACCAGTGACTGTTAAGGATTGGATGACATTCCTGTTGTGTGATGGATTCCACGTAAGACCCTGTTGATAAAATGTATAGCTGTTTTCCTTAAAAGATGTGTCCAAAGCTAAAGATTTAGAATTTAGCTAAATAGCTTCTGAAAATCTGAATCTTGGTTTAGTCAGATTTTGTGGTTTTAAAAATTGTATATAGAGAGAAGAATCAGATTGAAGCCCGCATTTGCCTCTACTCTAGCCTCTTGAAGCATCCCAATTGGCAGTTACTGCTCTAGACACTGGTGTCCCTGGAGTTTAAAGTAAAATATGGAAAATGCTTGGCTGCATCTCGACACTGTTGATTCCTTAACAGGAACAGAGAGAGGACTGCAGGGTGTGTCAGGAGTGGATGTATTGTCAGGTGCTTAGCCTTTAGTAGTGAGTGCCCTTTTACATTAAGAGCATGCGCCTTGATCATTGAGAACAGGGGCAAGAGCTGTGTTTTTTTTTTTTTACTGCCTTTGTTTTGGTAGTTTGCTGGATATTACAAAAAATAGTGTCGGTTTACTCTTGGAGTCTAATTTTTTTTTTTAATGAGATGAAATCCAGCCACCCATATCAGGATGATCTCATTTACATTTTGATATAAGTCAGCAAGTCCTTGCTATATAGTAACACGACTGATTATCTTTTTTTCCTTTTTGTTTTTTAAACAGATACCATGGATCAGGTAATGCAGTTCGTTGAGCCAAGTCGGCAGTTTGTGAAAGACTCAATTCGGCTGGTTAAAAGATGCACCAAACCTGATAGAAAAGGTAATAGCTTTGGAATGAGAGAAAAAAGTTAAATTTTTGCATTCTCTGGTTCAGTTCAGTTCAGTCGCTCAATCGTGTCCGACTATTTGCGACCCCGTGAATCGCAGCACGCCAGGCCTCCCTGTCCATCACCAACTCCCAGAGTTTACAAACTCATGTCCATCGAGTCGGTGATGCCATCCAGCTATCTCATCCTCTGTCGTCCCCTTCTCCTCTTGCCCCCAATCCCTGCCAGCATCACGGTCTTTTCCAACGAGTCAACTCTTCCCATGAGGCGGCCAAAGTATTGGAGTTTCAGCTTCAGCATCAGTCCTTCCAACGAACACCCAGGACTGATCTCCTTTAGGATGGACTGGTTGGATCTCCTTGCAGTCCAAGGGACTCTCAAGAGTCTTCTCCAACATCACAGTTCAAAATCATCAATTTTTCGGCGCTCAGCTTTCTTCACAGTCCAACTCTCATATCCATACATGACTATTGGAAAAACCATAGCCTTGACTAGACAGACCTTTATTGGCAAAGTAATGTTTCTGCTTTTTAATATGCTATCTAGGTTGGTCATAACTTTCCTTCCAAGGAGTGAGCGTCTTTTAATTTCATGGCTGTAATCACCCATTTGCATTCTCTAAGCCCTTTATTAATGTCTTCCTGTTTAATAATTGGACTTCTTGCATCACTTTTATTGATTTTTGCTTTAGTTTTTGAAATTGTCAGTTTTTGCTACATTTTGTATACTTTGTGCATCCCTTATAGATTTTTCTGTTTTATGTGTTTTCCAGGTTTATAAGGTGATTTGTTATTATTTTCCATGTTGCTTTTTCCTTGGTCATATGTAATGACTTTATAGAGTTTTTAGTATCTTTCACATTTCCACTCTGAAAAATCTTTTGAAACTCTTCATGCTATGTCACTCTTCCCCTAACAAAAAAGGCCTTAAAATGAAATCAACAGCATAGTTGGTCCCAACCTAGGAAGTTTCTTATTTATTGTAATTCATGTGTTAAAAGATGCACTGGAATTTGTCTATTTCTGTTCTTTTTTTGACTGCTGCCTGAGTTAGGAGCTGGGAATATAATAAACAATATAATATTACATATTATATTACATATATAGCATAATATATAAAAATATGTAATAGGGAATGGTCCTTGCTCTTATGGAGCTTAGAATCTTTGAGGGAAGACAATCATAAACAAATAATGACAACTATGATTTTTAGTTACTGCTGTGGTAAGTATTATGTAAGGTAGATGGAGGAAGGTCTGCCAGCATGTAATAGGAGGACCAACCAAGCTAACCACGCAGGGAGAAAATTAAAAATCTGTCATAATTTATTTACTATTAATATTGTCATTTTTTTTAAAAAAAGAGTAATTGCATACTTGTTATCAGGAGAAGTGTATACCAGTAAGTTCATTTATGTCAGTGCTAATTTTTTCCCCTATATTTGCAGTGACAGTGCAAAAAGTAATGTAACTTTTGTGTTTCTTTTTTTTTTTTTTTTTAATTTTGTGTTTCTAAATCCAGAATTCCAGAAGATTGCCATGGCAACAGCAATAGGATTCGCTATAATGGGATTCATTGGCTTTTTTGTGAAATTGATCCATATTCCTATTAATAACATCATTGTGTAAGTAAACTTTTTGAAACAGACACTATCAAGGATAAAATGAAAATGCAGACCATTTGAGTTGACAGTCTGCTGTTTGGTTAATATATAGATAATGTTTTTTTGATTTTTTTAATGTTGGTAAAATTTACTGCTATTTACTGAGTACCAGATAATTCAAAGTAACTTTACATATTACATAATTTTTAAAGCTACTCTGTGAAATAGGCACTAATTTTTTAATAAGTAAAATTTTAAAGGATTGAGGAAGCTAGTTAAAGGTACTCAGAATGAGATAAAACAGGCATTCAGTGACAAAACCATTATTCAAATCCAAGTTCTCTTTGTGCAGTACCTTAATTTGTCAACATTAAGGTGCAGAGGAAATATTTCCCCATCTGAAGATCACTATAGTAGTAGAGTTCAAACCTAAACCAGGTTGCCTATATTCAGATTTTTCTTGTTACTTAATAGCTGTCATAACCTTGGACAACTTAGCTCCTTTGTGCCCAGTTTATTCAATAGGGATAACAGTTCCTGACTAGGGCTATAGAAAAGATAAGTGACTTAAGTCATGTAAAAGCCTAAACAACAATTTTCAAACCTAAATGGAAGTTGTGGTTAATGTAATGAGACACTGATACTAATACACTTTAGTAAATTAGAAGGAGAAAAGACTGAGGAACACTGGAATTGCTTTATTCTTTTCTAAATGCTTTTGCTTTTTAGATTCATTAAGCACTCATGAGTTGCGACACCTTGTGGCAGTGTGCAGTTAGAGCAGTCAGCTTTAGGCAGTTTTGTTGGTGTAAAGACTTAGTACCTGTCGTAGTATTTATTTGCTCTGTGATTTTGTATTTGCTTGGTCTCTGAGCCTTACCTGTCATTTAGATATCTAATCATGAGATAAGCCTTTTAGGCTTATTTTGTAAGGTGAGGATGCTTTGTAAACTGTAAATCTTTTAAGTACTGGATATTTTACTATGGATGCTTGTGAAAGTTGTCTTTTAAATGACACGTGACTGAATGAGCATGGTCAGGTGGATTTCTTAAGTAGGTTTTCATAGCTGTTATGCAGACATGCCACAAAGGATCACAGAGAGTTAGACCTGAAAAGGACCAAGTATCTCAAATCTCCTCCATCAGTTCAGAAATTTTTGCTATATTCCTAGTGAGGAAAGCAATTTTTGGAATTTTGGAATCATGGAGCAAATCCTCAAGTAGAATTAGGAAAGCTGAGCCTTGATGTCTTTGGGCTACAACCCCTACCTAATCAGTAAATAGAGTGGCTAGAGTGCAGTCTGTGATGTCAGCTCAGTGCTTCATTAAACTTTATTGCTGAAACTAAAATACCGACAACTATATAAATCTTTAAATTATAACCCTGTGGATATTAATTCTGACTGCTATAATTGTAGAGAAGAGGAAAAATCATCATGTTTTTATGCAGCTTCCTAGCCCATTGTCAGTCAGGTGTAACTTACAGAGTTATTTCTTAATTGATAATGTAATACTAATATATGACCATATACATTCATGCATATGTGTATATATATGTCTATATTATAGATGTGCATGTATATATATATGTGTGTGTGTGTATATGTATACAGAACCTAGTACAGGATTCTTTTGTGTATATTGAAAGCATTTGAGTAAGTGTTGAATTAAGTAAACAATGTAAGATTCTTA